GTAGTTAACTATTCATTTTGATATCATAGAAAACAATATTGCAATTATGTTATATTGTTTTGTATGATATATCTCTGCTAAAATTCAATAGAATAACACTGTGATTATTTATCTAAATGCGACGATAGGTCTCAACTTCACTACGTTATATTTTACAAAATCGCAACTGGGCTTCAAAAGGGTCTTACTAGCTCCATTGAACCGAAACAATCTACAAACCGAAACTATTCTATTTATAAACTCGGGCTGTCCTGCTCTTTTTTGAAAGGACCTTCCACACAATTTGGTATATCGGGTTGTTGTACCTCGGAAAGTACATTCAACATTTATTTATTCCAAGAAACCATGTACACTTACTCTAACGACCGGTATGATTACTGTTGCCTAGCTTGACGAAAATTTTTTGTTGTTTCCGTCGGTGTACTGCTGTATCTCATAGATCAATAATTGATCACACAAAATCTATATGTATGTCGATTAAATATATATAATACGTTTAATAATCCTGTACATACACACTAATTAACTAAAACTAATATTACTTGCTATTCAAAAAGATGCTTGCTATTCAAAAAGTGGTTTAGCGTCTTAAAACTAAACGCTCCTCGGCCACAACCCCTAAATTTCCCCGGGTCAACGCACCCGAACAGTCCGTATGCAGTTATAGGTATGCACTACATAATTAGCCATACCGATAATTCAGCGAAAAACCTAATTGTTTAATGTCATTATGTAGTTCAGAGTTGGACAAACTCGACTCTTTTGACTCCCGAGTGCTCCTCAGGTATAGCCAAGGAGCTCCTTGCGAGTGCGAGTGAGTTGATTCTTTCCTTTTCTTATCCCTTCCATTTCGTAGGTGAGTCCCTTTGCCTCGGCTTGCTACCCCTGAGCTGCGGGACGATCATTAGAAAATTTTCGTAGGTATTATTTAAGTTGCGAGAGAGACTTCGCTCGTCTTCGCTTTTTAGCGCGAGTGCCCATCCTTCCGTTTAGTGTTGGGCCACCCTCTTCCAGTTCATCTCCCCAACCTCCCTCCTTCACCTCTTTAACTATCTCTACCCTTCCCCAAACTTCTCCCATCTCCCGGTAGTCATAACCACCCGGTTGAACTACCAACCCAAGGAGGGTTTTTAATAGGCGCTCCCACCAGGAGTGAATCCGACATTACCCCCCTTGGGGATGTCTTTAGAAAATTTCCCCTCCTCGAGGTTAAAATAAACAAAAAAAAACTTCGCTTGTCTACGGGATGAAGGGGCTTGATATGGGAGTGAAAGGGAGAAGAAAAAGGGAAAGCAATATGGGTCATTACTGTATACTCTCTCGTACTCACCTAAGGGTATGGAGTGACCCAAACTAACCTCATGTAGCGGTTCCTACGAAGTTAAAGTTTGCCCGGCTCTGATGTAGTTGTGTCACTGCGAAGGTATTTATAAAGGTATACCCTTCTTGGTATCAAGGGGTTAGTACCGCAGGTAGGAACGATAAAGTCTTAACAATTACCTACTTGCTTCCTTTAGCAACCCGTCCGACAAGTTTCAATCTTATACTGCTTGCCAGGTTTACCTATTTTTTTTTTAGTTTTTTTATTTAGTTTTTCTTTGCATATTTCCTACAGAATAAATTCTTCCTTTCATTACCTACTGTTCCTATATATACTTCTATCTATCATATCGACTTGTTCTGTTTATTAAATACTAAGTTTTCCACTTGTCTATTTTTTGCCCCTAAGTACCCAATATCCTACATTTATTACTTCTTTACCAATTTTACCCCCTTGATTATCCCACCGTCAACTACTCAATTTTCCACCCCTTTTCGCTACTGCAGGGGGGTATAAACACCGGTCCCGGAATAAACAGAGATCATCTTCATCATTCAGCAAGGGAAAGAGAGTTCCTACCTGACCATCAAAGTTTTCTTTTGTTTTTTTATTATTTGGCTAACTGCGATATTCCATCAGCTGCAAGGGAGAGAGAGTTCTATCCATTCACGTTTCTCTTGTACATATATATGTACAAAATGTATATATATTGTGAACAAAAAACGTAACGAGAATTTTATCAACAGAAGTACTTCAAAAATACCTTTATAAAACGAGATTCTATCAAGACCTATACAGTATCTTTGTGACTAGCAGAAATGAAGGAAATTGTCTTAACTCTCATTACACTTTCCTTAGTTACGGTAAAGCAGTGATATTAATATGGAAGTCTAGATCAAACTTGAATTTATTTTTTGTTTCTTACAGGCTCACGTAACTAAGGATTGGTCTAAAATTATAGCTGCTCGTAAAACATCTCCCACAGAACACAATCAGCTTGCATCATCTGAAGGTTTAAAGATCGTAGGAGGGAATGAAGCTTCACCAAACTCTTTACCATACCAAGTAAGCATGCAAAATATTTGGAATATTTGGTTGTTGATTAAAATTTTGGGGTTAATTGGTAATGTGTGTATAATATGATAAGGAGATGTATAAATTTGCTATTACCTAGGGAGAAGTACACGAAACTATTAAATCGATTCCAAAATGTGTTAGTATTATAACCCAATGGTTCTTAAATGTCGTTCCCTATAAAATTTAGACATGAAAGTCCGTTGCGGGCAAATTCGCTAGTCCACAATGTGATCGTATCTTTCTTTATTTAGGCCGCTGTGATACTTACCTATAGTGATGGAATGAATTTGTGTGGAGGATCTCTCATCTCCAGACGTTACGTATTAACCGCTGCCATGTGTTTATCCAGTGGGTAAGTCATTTATTCTTAATTGTTCTACTCATTGCTCAATACATTTTGTTACATTTTGCTTTCTATTTCTTTTAACAGTTTCGAATCGATGGAAGTAGTTCTTGGGGCGCATAAAATTTCTGAAGTTGAACCTACCCAACAAGTGATTCCTACCTCCAGGTTCAAAGTACATGAACGGTATAGACGTCAATCACGAGCTAATGATATAGCTTTGGTTTATCTTCCAACACCAGCCAACCTCAATCGTAACTATCTCTATTGATGATTTACTTTATATTAAATATATTTATTAACATTCATTTTCTTCCGGATGATGACTATCTTAAAAGCCACTCGGAACTAGTTCAGGTCAAAAAAATATTTTATTGGCAATTTTTCCTAACACTTCACCCTCTGATTGATGGCCTTTTGAAGGTCAATTGCGAAAATCAAGTCGAAAGCTTGCAACAACCTTCTATATAGGTATAGCAACATTTAATTAAAATTACTTCTGCAGCAGAATTTATTTAAAGAAAGAATTACAAGAAAAAATTTTACTAATTAGAATATGATTATGTAGGTTGTTTGCAATCCTTTAATTTAACTTCTACAATTACGTTGAAGAGGACCGCTACCTATAAATTTGCGATTTCTGTTTGCTTTTCTATTGATTATAATAATCTCTCTTCACAGAGTACGTTCAACTGATTCC